TTTTAAATATTTCATTTAACTATTTTAGTTAAAAACAATTTTAACAAAAACAAACCTGATTTTAAAAAACTTGCATGTTTAACTAAATTCAAAAATTCATATGCTTGTTTTGTTAAAATATTATATGTTTGCTCTTGAAGAAAAAAAATCCAGAATACATAACATTGTTGTTTTAGTTGAGTAAAACAATATAAATGTCTATCTGGAGATGTTCTCCTCATCTCCAGCATGGCAAGAAAATCCTCCAAATATTAATGATTAACCTGTTGAATTGGAGATAGTTCACCTCCCAATGACTTCATAAATATCTGCTTCAATTACCTTTGGTAAATGAAATAACCAAACAATCATTCATTTTCTGATATAGCTGTAAAAATAATCTGAAAAGTTTTCAAAATAAATCATTTTAAAAATGTATAGTGTGTACCTTCTAAAAATGAAACCTACATCTATCTCTGAGTTGTGAAGAATATCTATTAAGGCAGGGGTGGGCAAGTTACGGCCCACGGGCCGGATCCAAACCCCTCAGGGCTTTGGATCCGGCCCGCGGGATTGCCACCCCCGTGGCACCGTGGACCTTGCGCCTCCCAGAAGCGGCTGGCACCATGTCCCTGCGGCCCCTGGGGGAGGAGGGGCAGAGAGTTCCGTGTGCTGCCCTTGCCTGTGGGTACCTCCCCGGAAGCTCCCATTGGCCAGGAAAGGGAAACCGCAGCCAATGGGAGCTTCAGGGGAGATACTCAAAGGCAAGGGCAGCGCGCTCAGACCTCTGCCCCCACCTCCCACCCCCAGGGCCACAGGGACATGGTGCTGGCTGCTTCCCGGAGCGGCATGGGGCCGGGGCCAGGGCCAGGGCAGGCAGGGAGCCTGCCTTACCCTCGCTGTGTGCTGTTGCCACCCCGGAGCCGCTCCAGGTAAGTGGCGCTGGGCCAGAGCCCGAACCCTTCCTGCACCGCAACCCCCTGCCCGCACCCCAGCTCCCTGCCCTGAGCCCTCTGCCATACCCTGCACCCCTCCTGAGCCCCCTGCCTGCACTCCAGCCCCCTCCTGCACTCTGCACCCCAGCACCCTGCCCTGAGCCCCCTGCTGCACCCCGCACCCCTCCTGTACCCCAACCTCCTGCCCTCAGCCCCGTCACATCCCTCCCTGCACCACTGCCCTGAGCTCCCTCCCACACTGTGCACCCTCCTGCACCCCAACCCCCTGCCTTGAGCCTGATCCCGCACCCCTCCCTGCACAACTCCCTGAGCCCCCTCCCACACTGTGCACCCCACCCCCTTCCCTGAGCCCCCTCATACACCCCGCATCCCTCCTCTGCCTCAATCCCTTGCCCTGAGCCCCTTCGTGCACACTGTACCCCCTCCCACACCCCAACCCCCTGCCCTTCATTCATGGCCCTACAAGCAATTTCCCCACCCAGATGTGGGCCTCGGGCCAAAAAGTTTGCCCACTCCTGTATTAAGGTTATAACAACCAACAAGAATGCACTTTTATGTAGAAATCCATGATTAAATTGAGTCTTCCTGACTAGTGATTTAAATCAATTTCATTTAAATCAAATCCACCCTGACCTAAACCACCCATGACAGATGTCTGTCCAACCTGTTCTTAAAAACCTCCAGTGATGGGGATTCCACAACCTCCCTAGGTAAGCTGTTCCAGTGCTTAACTGGCCTTATAATTACTTTTCCCCCTAGTATTTAAGTAAATCTCGTTGCTGCAAACTAAACTGACTAGTTCTTGTCTTGCCCTTAGAGGTCATATAACAATCTTATACATATTTGAAGACTGTTATCACATCCTGCCTTAGCCTTCTTTTCTTAGGCTAAACGTGCCCAATTGTTTTGTCTTTTCCTCATAGGCCATGCTTTCTAAACTTCTTATTTTTATTTTTTTGCTCTCCTCTGGACTCTCTCCAATTTGTTCATATATTTCTTAAAGTGTGATGCCCAAAATTGGCAACAGTACGGGGGTTAACCTATGAACACATTGTTGCTGAAAGAAAGCAGAATGCAAACTCAAATAAACTGTGTGGACTAAATTTGTTTGGACTAAAATAATTGGTGATTAAGGGTTTTGCAGACTAATGGTGAGGTTACAGAATTGTCAGAGCAACAAGTCCAAACCTTCGTAAGATGAGGAAAGGTCTATGAATGATCAAAAACTTGCGTTGATATTCAATTTTACTTTAAATGAGGATGCCATCTCTTTTTGGACATTTACTTTCTAAGGAATACTTACCACCTTGCTCAGTGAGAGAATGGCCGTAAGCTCTGAGTTTGGCAAGGAGACTGGAGCATCATCACCATCACAGCTACCACCACATGCTGGGGGTCAGGGATTTACCACTGAGGCACATGCATCTTTTTCCTGATACTAAAAGATGTTCTTATCAGCACAGATAGAGAGAGGGAACAACAAGACATCACCATTTTCATGGCCATATGGTGAGCAATTTATAAAATCAGGTTTCAGAGTAGCAGCCATGTTAGTCTGTATCCGCAAAAAGAAAAGGAAGACTTGTGGCACCTTAGAGACTAACAGTCTCCAAGGTGCCACAAGTCCTCCTTTTCTTAATTCATAAAATGTGACTCTAAGGATCCTGCTCCCTCAATCCCAACCCTCTGTCTTCATTTACATACCTACTTTATTCCTCCTACCTCTCTTTTTGCCTTTGTCTAATAAGAATCTGGCGGAGCCAGGAGGGCCCAACCTTCTCATCTAAAATCTAATCTTGCAGCACTTTACTATGGTGGCGTGTCTGAGAGAACAGGCACCTCAGGCTTGGTAAAAAGATCTACCAACCCAGAGGGAACTGGGAATGGGCAGTATTTAAAGTATATGGGGGAAGGATCATGAGAGGTTGCACAGCTAGCAAAAATCAAAATTTAAAATTCAGTTGAATTACTGAGGGGTGAATTTTAAGCAAGTTTTTATGACAGCGGCTACTTCCAGATGATAGAATAATAGAAACATAGGGCAGGAAGGTACTTCAAGAGATCATCTAAAGTTCAGTGGCTTTCAACCTTTCCAGACTACTGTACCCCTTTCAGGAGTCTGATTTGTCTTACGTACCTCTAAGTTAAACTTCACTTAAAAACTACTTGCTTACAAAATCATAATAAAAATACAAAATTTCTTACTTTCTGATTTTTATCAGATAATTATTAAATAAATCAATTGGAATGTAAATATTCTCCTTACATTTCAGTATATTATATAGAGTAGTATAAAAAAGTCACTGTCTTTATGAAATTTTAGTTTGCACTGACCTGCACTAGTGCTTTTTATGTAGCTTGTTGTAAAACTAGGCAAATATCTAGATGAATTGATGTACCCCCTGGAAGACCTCTGCATACCCCGAGGAGTACATGGACCCCTGGTTGAGAACCACTGATCTAGTCCAACCCCCTTGCACTGTGGCATAACCAAGTAAACCTAGACCTTCCCTGACAAGTGTTTGTTCAACCTGTTCTTAAAAACTTCAATAAAGGGGATTCCACAATCTCCCTTGGAAGCCTGTTGCAGAGCTTAACTACCCTTGTAGTTAGAAAGTTTATCCTCATATCTAGCCTAAACCTCCCATGCTGCAGATTAAGCCCATTACTACTTGTCCTACCTTCAGGATTGATCACCATTCTCTTTATAACAGCCCATAACATATTTGAAGACTGTTATCAGTCTTCTTTTATCAAGATAAAACACACCCAGTTTTTTTAAAATCTGACCTATCAAGATTTTCTACCTTCTTATCATTTTTGTTGCAGTCTTTTAGACGCTCTCCAATTTGTCCACATCTCACAGTGTGGGTCCCAGACTTGGACACAGTATTCCAGTTGGTGCCTCACCACTGCCGAGTACAGCAGGACAATAATCTCCTGTGTCTTACATATGACACTCTTGTTAATACACTCTAGAATGGTGTTAGCCTTTTTCCCCACTGCATCACACTGTTGACTCCTATTCAATTTGTGATCCATTGTAACCCCCAGATTGCCTAGGCAATTATTCCCCATTATGTAGTTGTGCATTTGACTTTTCCTTCCTAAGTGAAGTACTTTGCACTTGTCTTTATTGAATTTCACCTTGGCGGACTTGTCAGTATGATAATTCCCCCCCCCACACCCCCTTTTTTTCAGAACACTATAAGCCGAGGTGGTGTGGGGGATGAATGGATCTCTAGGGACTGGCTGGGGTAGGCTGGCCGGGAAGGGGGGCGGGGGGACTCTGGCTAGAGGTTTCTGGGGAAGCGAGAGGGTTTTAGGTCAGGTGTCCCCTGGGTGTGGGACCCACAGGAGGCTGCGTCCGCCCCGAGCTGGGGCGCTGGGGGTGCTGAGCCGCGGGGCTTCTGGCTCTGGCCGCACCTGGCTACCGGTGTCCATGGGCGTAGCCAGACAGTTGGACAGGAGAGTTGTGGCCGCCCCAGGTTTCGGCGGCCCGAAGGAGTGTTAGGGGGGTCTCCGCCGCCCCGCTGTGGACGTGGGGTCCCAGTTACTTACTGGGCGCTGCAGCCGTTCTGGCGGATCTGAAGCTCCCTCTGTCGCCATGGAGACAGCGTCAGCCCAGGCAGGACTCCACTTCCGGTTGGTGCTTTCGCCACTAGTGCCCGGTTGGAAACAGCCCCTCGACCGCGCTTCGGTTCTGACACCGCCCTCCCACCCGCCGCGCGCGGCCCGGGGTCTCTTCCCGGCTCGACTGAGAGCAGCGTGTTTCCTTCGGAGGCTATTGCTGGGGCGCCAGGTTGCCCTGTGCGGAAGCTGCCGCCGCTGGCGCCGCCGCCTGAAGTCGGGCTTCTTGGGGCTTCTGGCCGGGCCCGGCGCCGGCGCCGCCGAGGTAAGGCTGGTCTCTGCCGAGGGGTGGTCGCACCTCACCCTGTCTGACGGCTCAGCGGGGCAGCGGCGCTGGGCTCAGGCCCGCCCCACAAGGGGTTAGGGAAGTGCGTGTTTGAAACCCCGGGGGTTGCCGCAGGTTCGGCGCCAGGCTCGGTCCGGGGCTCCCTGGTGCTCACCGGCGTTACAGCTGGTGCAGAGCGGGCAGCTGCTCTTTGATCCTGCGTTAGATGGAAACCTGCAACGGCCTCGCCTGCGCGGCGGTGAAAGCGGGGGGTCTTCAGGCGAAACTACTGCGCTTTACGTGTAGACAAGGCCGAGGGTTGTACCGGGGTGTCTTAAACACAGGGTAAAGTACAAACACCACTTCCCTAGTGAAGACAAAGGGCGTGGCTTATTCTGGAATAATTTCACGTGTAGATGTTCTTCTTGTGTTTTCTGGATGCCTTGCTCCTTTTTGGTATTTTAGTTGGCTCCTGAATAGCTAGGGTTGCCAAGTTTTTGGTTGGGAGTATTCCTGGAGGTTTACATGACATAATCCTTAATTAAAGAGTAATCTTTAATTCCTGTAGACTCCAGGACAATCCTGGAGGGTTGGCAACCATATGAATAACACTACCTGTAGAGCAGTGTTTCACACACTGTGGGTTGGGACCCCACAGTGGGTCGCAACCTCATTTTAATGGTGTCGCCAGGGCTGGCTTAGACTTGCTGAGGCCCGGGGCTTCAGCCCTGGGGTGCAGGACTCAGGTTATAGGCTCCCTTCCTAGGGCTGAAGCCTGGAGTGGTGGGGCTTGGGCTTTGGCCCCCTCACTTGGGGCAATTGGGCTTGGGTGGGCTCAGACTTCTGTCCCCACTCCTGGGTTTCGTGTAGTAATTTTTGTTGTCAGAAGGGGGTCATGGTGAAATAAAGTTTATTTCTTGTCTGTGTTAGACTCTACAATATGTGCCAAAGTACGATTTGTTATTTCAAGTGTATCTGCACCCTTAGCGCAGGGCAAAGACATTTTCAGCTCATGTTATGTCATAGGGGAGAAATTAGATCTATTTCTTGCACAAAAGTGGAAGGGATTGCTTGTATCTGTGCTCCAGTTTGAAAAATGTTTTTGGATCTTTCAAGGTGATAGGTGCTATGTAAAAGAAAAGGATTATTTTCCCCATTATATACAACTTTCCCTAAAATAGGATAGCCAGCAATCTCACACTCTAAATATATTTTACTTTTTATGGTACCTTCCCAGAAGTTAAAAACAAACTTATTTCTTCCCTTCCACCTTAAGAATGTTTTGAGTACTCAAATTTAGTGGCTGTGATCGGAAGATGTTTCTTTAGAATGTTATAAGTATGGGCTGTCCTGTAAAATACTTGTGTTTTACCACAGAGCTGAGATCTCACTTAGTTGAAAGATTCCTGACAATGGTTCCAATCTTGCAGTTAGTTTCATATGAATGCCTATGCTGGCAAGGAGTTGGCTGTAAACTTGGGTCCTAAATGTGTTTACACTTCTCACTAAAACTTTTTTATGCATTACCATTAAAATTCAGTTTTAATATTTGATGTTTCCTTAAAGGGCATCAACCTGAAATTTAAGCCAGTTTAAAAAACTAGTTAAATGTACTTTCAGAAACCAAACCTGCTCCAGAATCCCATTGCTATTTTTTCTCATTTTACAAGCACATTTTTCTATATTTTAAAATAAATATTTACCAGTTGCTCTCTGAAAATGCCAGACAACCAGAAAGGGTAATTATGACCCTGACCCTGCAGTGTGATGTGCACGGGCTGACTCATCAGCATGGATCTCGTTGCTGGATTGAGGAGGTAAATTGCCTAAATGCACAATATAATGCACAAAATAAACGGAAAAATATTTTCTCTAATCTTGTAAGTATGGTCTTACTATAGCATAGCATATAGGTTACTTGTAAAAATTGTAGGTTAAAAATAATTCAGACAGAAGTAAATTAAGGCCATTTAAATTTTGCAAAATAATCCTTAGGCGTTAATCTAAGTGAATTACTAATAGCAAGAGGAAATGGCTTTGGTTGGGTGATGAACAACCTTTGTAATTGTAGAATTATGAAAATGACTGTATTTTTGACTATTACAGGTATTTTTGTGTCTTAGCTCAAGGGAGAAATGTTTTGTTTGAATTCTCACAAACTGAATGGGAGGCTGCTTCATGATTTTAAAAAAAGCAAAAGTGAAGTGTAAAACTATTGATTTAAAAGGAAAATGTTTGTATAACTTAAATGGCTATGATGCTACCAAAATCAAATAAAGAATATTTTTTATTTAAAAAGACTTTTGTAATGTTCTTGTCACAGAACTAAATGCACTTTTGACTTGAGTTCTTGAACAATTTGAAAGGGTATATTGTGTTTTCCAGTCAGTTTTCCTATATTCTACTTAGAAATGGAGTTAAAACAGCATAAACAAGTTAAATCAACCCAAATTTCAGAAATATATATCTTATCTGGTAGTTGTTTAAATTGAGATTATAATGTGAGATTCTATGCTCCTCTGTGCAGCAGAGGGGAACAAAACAGCAGAAATAATACTGGGGAAAGGCAGAAGACATATTAGCCATGTGATAAACTATTGCACATTTAATTCTCACACCAGACTGCTTGGACTCCCCTCCCCACCCCACCTTGCATTTCTATACCGAAAAGGTCAGTATGACGAAGGAAAAAATGGTTGAACAACAAAAAGGGAAGGAGATAGGGAACGTACAAGGAATAATGCCCTTAGAAACAGAGTAAATTGATCAGCCACAAGCAAATCTGCCTCTTTGATTTTAGGTAATAAATCCCATTTGGCCAAATATGTTAAGCAGTTGTCTGCATTGTGGCATGTGACCCCTTGCTGCCATTGTTAGGATGGGATTGAGGGGTGGAGTCACATTTTCCCATGGTCCCATATTTTGTCATGTTTCAAGTTGCTCACACATAATTCTTTTAAATGCAGTCTAAATTATCCTTACAGTATTTTATTTATATTGTTAAGCAGGTCTCGAAAGAAGCCACTTCCTGGTTAGCCACATAATGGCCTTTGAACACATACCACGAAAAGACTGGTATAAAATTCTGGGTGCAGAACCATCAGAGAGCCTGACAGAACTGAAACAGAAATATCAGAAGCTGGTATTATTAGTAAGTGTATTTTACCTTATTTAAATAATGCAAAAATAAACTAACTACTGTTTTCAATTTATAAATAGAACCAAGTGTAATGAGTGTTATAATTTTGTCAGTGGGGGGGAGTGTGGGTAGTTCTTTAAACTATCAAGTAGAGCTCCAGAGCCTGTGATTTTCTTATGATCCCAGGAATCCTCCCCCCCCAGCCTCATCACCAAAAGAACGCTATCTCCTCCTCTCCCCTCCCCACCCGACTCCACCCCACCCCACCTGTCCCATCCGATCCCATCCCTGCAGGCAATCTGGAAATATACCACTGTTTGGTTGGATTTGGTTCATCATGTGAATAAAAATATAATTATCTTCAAACTTACAAATCTTTTTTTTTCTTTTATAATCCTACCCTTCCTGTGTGATTACTTTATTCTGTCACACTTCAATCAGTGTTTGGGTCATTACTGTTTGCTACCAGGAAAGCCATTATAAAGTCACAAACACTAGACAGTAGCATCACTGAATAAATCAAGCGTGAAGAGTAGTTTTATTGAAAAAAAGGAAGACTCTTCTTTATGTATAAATATCTTGCTAATTTTCAGTATTGGGATAGAAAGAGAGAAGTATGTGGACATTAATATGGATTTTGGTGTAAAACAATTGGCCCAATTCTGGCAGGGCTTCCCTCAGAACTACAGAAATGTGAGTTTCTGCAGAACTGGAACCAGTATTTTTTAGTTTGTGATAATATGACAGTTGCCATTTATTTATGGATTGCTTTCTGAGTTACCACAAGTCTATTGACTTTAAAGTTGTATTCTCAATGCCATAAACGATAAAAGTGAGGACATTCAGCCATAACTATCTATAAAAGTATCTGTGCAAAATATGGAAACTTCTTGCTTCAAAGGGAAAATTAAAGATGAATTACATTTCCATCAAATAATCTGTTTGAAATGGACTCTTCTAAGAGATGACTACTGTCTTCCTGATCCTTCTGTGTTGCTAAACATATACACTTAAACCAAAACAACCAATACCCTTTGTTCTGGTGCATTCTGAAAATAATTCTGAAGTTGATCAATATTTGGTACCTCTATTTGCCGGTTGCCTTTCAAGATTACAAAGAGGCTGCTATGATTTGCATCAACTCTTTATCTTAGCATTTATAACATAACATATTCACTGATTTCAATGATACTCTGTTTATCTATATAAAAGGACCATGATACACAATCACTATTCTTACTATAGAAAACCATGATATCTCTTGAAGTTACTGAATGAACTCAGCTGATACATTTTTGATATGCTGGTTTTCTTCTGTGCATTCTACTATTTTTTTGTGTGTGACCTTCAAGTATTTTGGTGCTAAGATTAGCATACATTTAAAACTAAATATAATGTGTTTAGTTAAGAAAACACAGGAAATGTAGTAAAAAAGCCCTTTCTGTTTGTATATTTAAGTTTCTAATTTAAACTGAATAAACTACTGGAACTAAAAGGGAATTTGTTATTTTCTCCTCTATTCATTCATTGTACCTAAGTATAATGACAGAAAACTCTTCAAAGCTGCTTATTGTACCTAGGTACAATAAAATAAGTTTTGTTAGAATAGTAACTTTGACTTCAGATTTCATTATTTTTCTCCACCTTTTGAAGCCTTGCTTTCAACATCACGGAGTGTGTTTATTTAGAGAAATAGGTGAAAATTTATGCAATTATAACTGCACAGAAGTTATGGTAGTTAAGTCTGTTCCATAACTTCTTCATATCAGAATGGCTCAAACACTAACATTATTTAAATTTAAATAATTATCTGGATATTTCCACTATAGGTTTTCTAACCAGTGTAAGCAAATTGCTAAAATGTTTATATTTTAAAAAGTTGATTTAACTGAGGAAAATTATGGAGGATGTGGGAGGGGCCTAATGTTGAACAAACAATATTTTTGAAAACTGAAATGTTCACTCTCCCCATTTCAATGATGGATGAATAAGAGGTATTCTTATTTAATACTGATTGATTCTGGCAAGTTTCATTTTTTGAAAGTACTCCTAGTTACTTCATTCTCAGAGGCAAATTTCATTTGCTACTGCTGTTTTCTCATTGTTTCCTTGAACTCCTTTGTCTATATCCATCTATTGTCTTATACTTGGATAGTAAGTTCTTTACAGCAGGGACCATCTTTTTGTTCTGTTTGTACAGTGCCTAGCACGATGGGGTATTACTATGTTAATACAAATAATTAATTTGCACTCCTTCCAAATCACTTTCACTGGATGTGGAAGTGTACTGGAAATGATTGTGGTTCCACTGATTGAGTGAAGACACAATTCCATCAACCTATATACTCGTTCATTACAGAGCCCAGTTATGATTTTCCAAACCTTCCATTGGCACGATTGGTTTGGGTAGAGGACAGAGCCGTATACAGGCACCCTAGCCATTTCTGTCCACAAAGAGGTGGTAGGAGTATAGTAGAGTAGCAGAGCCAACTCCCACTCAGAAGCTACAGTGGCAGGTGAAGAACAATCCCTCCTTCTGTCCACACAGAAATTTTCTTGCCAAGTTATGGGGATAGGGCAAAGTTTTGTTATCTGTATAAGAATACAACATTTAACCTCATGTTATTTTAAGAATTGTTGAATATTATAACCTCCTGGATTTCAGAATAATTAACATAAGGCAGCCAGTGTTTCAGATACCAGTTGAAGTTATTACCAAAATTCTGTAATTGTAATAGCTCTAATGGCAAATGGTGACTGGCATCAAGCATTATACAGGATACAATTATTTTGTAAATAATCTTGCTATGAAAATTTTCTGGAAAGTGGCAAATGTCGCAGTCCATGCTTTCTTTTTGTCATCTTCAAATAATTCCTGCTGCTTCATTTTTAATATTTTCTTTTTTGCCATATTACTATTTCCCTTATAATTGCACATATGCAATGTTAGCATTCTGAATGAACATACAGATGTAAACTTTGTAAGTTTTTGAAAGTTGAAGGTCATGCCATATGTTATTGGAATGGTGATTTTTCTCTACATTTGCAATATGTGGTGTATAAGGTCAGGTCTGACCTTAATGTCAGAGTAGTAGAAAGGCGAGCAAACTTGTATTTTTACCATACAGAAAGGCTGTATTTTAGATTTACTACAGTTGACTCACAAGGGTAAACTAACTTAAAAGAACTGATTAATTTCTAAAATGTAACTTTCCCCCCTTAACTATAACTTAATTCAATAAACAGAATTATTTTGTAACTAAACAATGAAATTGTACTTAGATACCCATGTTGCAGTCAGTATTTTTGAGTGACTAAAATGATTTATTATAATTTTGATTTTTTCCTTTATTAATTTTTATTTTTGGAGTTTTAAACTATGAATATGTGTTTAACTGAAACATATCATTACACAATTTCTGGATAATAAAATAGAGTATTACAGTCTCCAGATATTCAAAAATCATGAGTCAGGTCCCAGAAAACAGTGAGATTGGCTTAAAAATCAAGAATTTTTTAAAATAATAAATGTTAAGTTTTTGTTTGCCTTCTGGATTTTGAATGTTGTGGGTTCAGATTTTTCAAGCTTTCCCCTGCAGCCATGAAGACTAGAAACTCACTTTAAAAAATTAAAATGCTGAGATTCTCACAGTCATGTGACTTCAGGAGCTGGGGCTTTAAGAAAAAACGTCAAACGTGAGAATTTGCAACCTGATATAACTTATTCTGTCCTGGCTGCTGGTTTACAAAAGGCTCTTAGCTGTAATTTTATAAACTTCAGATGCATATCCTTCTTTTTGGTCATGTAGAATAAAATCTAGGTGTTTGTGACAGAGAGAGGCATCCAGAAAAGCTGCAGAAAAGTGTTAATGAGCATATGTTCTCGCTCTGTCACAGTACCATGTAGTGCCTCCTTGGCAGATATTTAATTCAGGTCCACTCTAAAACATCCTCTCTGTGTAGAAGACTTGCAGAGAGTGAACTCTGCAAGTATGGTGAGAGCACGGTTCAGAAACTGTGCTCTGTTAGCTAGGTATATGGAAAAGGCCTCCTGAATTTGATCTGTAGTCCTTTGATATTCAGGACATGTTCAATTTTGAAATATTGTGATAACTGCAATCATTTTTTCATAGACTGATGCATTTTAGTTTGAATAACATAAAATCATAAATGCATTCAGAGAGTTTATGTTGTACTGCTGTTTATCAGGTAACCCACTCAGTTTTTGCACTCTGTGGAAAGGCATTGCTCATTATATATTGGTTATCACTATGTGCTAGATTAAAAGTAGGAAGATAAAACTAGAATAACAGAAATAAGTTCTGTGAGTAAAATTTTACACCTTTTTTCCCCTATTACTATAATTTTCAATTCCTTTTTGGTCCAGTATTTTAGGGTCAAAAATGAGTTACCAGGTTGTTTTTTCAAATTTGCTTGCAGCTATTCTGTATGTGAAAATTGCTGTTTACAGAGAAGAAATCCAGCAAATGTATAAGCTTTGTCTAGCTGAAAATCAGGTTTCTGTTCCTGTTGGTGCTGATCCTGATGATATTATAGGATACCTTTCTGCTGGAAGGGAATTATTGTTCAGGAAAATTATATGCTGCTGTTACAATGTGTGCCCTAATCTTAAAGAAAATCCATGTAATTTGAGCAAGGAGTGTGCGGGAACCTCTTCTTAATGTGGAAAGAGTATAAAATGTGTCACTAAACACTCATGTGGGAACTGAGATTCTCTTTGGATCATAAGTATTTATATATAGATTAGTGTTAAGATAGTTATATAATACATTCAGAAAGTATAGATGATGGGACTACAGAGGGCATCATATATGGGAACGAAGAAAATTATCATATTGGCAACAATGGAAGAGGGTAGTAGTAGATCTTGTACAATTCTTTAGTTAAATTATTAAGTAAAATATCAATTAAATATATCTTTGTATGGGAAAAACAATTATAATTGGTCTAGAATCCAGAAAAGATTTCTATGGCTTTATATGTTAGTCTTG